GGGGGGGGACTATATGCGAAACAAAACATCTACTTGAGAAATCACAGGCAAGTATTCAACCATGCGCATATGCTTCACACAGCCACAAAACTTGGACTAGGGACACAATATCTTTGAAATTATATACAGCAAAATGTTTCCATATTCCTTGCATTTACATACACCTCATTTGCGTCATGACTGACTTTCCTGTAACTATTAAATGATGCGGATAATAAATACTTTCTTTTCCCTTTATATAACTGATCATTCGTGCCGTAACACCAACTTAACAATCGAGACAGAAAAACTAAATTCCCAGATCAAATGAAGGAGAGCTTCCGCCATCAGGAATTTGTGTAATAGGTATTGAATTCACTGTATTCTGAACCAAGGACTGTGATTTATTTCTAAGCATTCTAGTAGCCTCTTCTTCCACTGCATCAAGATCGATACTTCGTGTAAAAGGTATTGAAGTCACTGCATTCTGAACCAAGGACTGTGATTTATTTCTAAGAATTCTAGCAGCCTCTGCTTCCATTGCATCAAGATCGATACTTTGAAAGAACTGGTCATCATCAAATGGATCACCAACTTCATTCTTTGCTGCTTCTTCCAAAAGATGTGAGTTTACACCAACAGCTTTAGAATGACGAGAGAACTCGTCGTGTAAATTGACAACGGGCAGTGAAGTTGCCTGATAATAGCTTAACTTTCTTTTCCGGCTCTCTAACTTGCTATTGTTTTCTCTCAAAGAGCAAGTGGTTGAGCATGGTACTGCTTCTGGTGCGATTCTGTTAATAATTTGCTGAAAGTTCAAGGAATTTCTCGTTATTGACTTTGGGTCAGTTTGAGGTATGTGATGATTTTCTGTCCCAGATGAGCTCTTGCTTTCATCTGTTCTGCTAGTTGGAACCACAGAATCAGGAGTATAATCGGTTGAAAGGTTTGGAATCGGTGACTGAGTGAGCAATGAACGCCTGTGATTAAAGATTGGCTTAGGTCCAGACATCAAGGCAAGCAGCCGTGATCATCAGATGATCTATGACTTCATAAAAATATTACTAAAAGGGAATCTATCTCCCTGATAAAAATGGTACTTTGTCAATAATGAAGCAATTTAATGTAACATTCAAGAAAGTGCTAGAAGAATATATTCGTTAATTCTTCACAACATTTAAAGCACTTCGCATGAATGATCACACGCATTTGCTCCATCTGAAATAGATTGATCTTTTCTCTTTCTTCAGTTTACAACATTCAAGAAAGAGGGAAGGACAAGAAATGATATATGTATAGCTGAAGATTCAGTAAGTATATGCACAAATATATCATGGAGTGCAATTAACAGTTTAAAACATAAAGAATCAGCATCCAAGCTTTCTTGAGTCACAAAATCTTCTCTAAACAAAGTCAGATATCGAGCTCATGCCCCTGTATCCGTGTGAACATAGTTTTGCTTCCTAACATGATACATGTTTCAGGTGCCATTACCTTCAATTAAGGTGGATTATGATTAAGCAAATCTGAATCTATGTTGCGCGGATTCTCCAAAATGCTGCCACGCCTGTGTCAAATCCTCTAAAAATACACTACTTTTGAAGGATCCAACACGCTCCCGACGACATTTTCGGAGAGTCGGAGCAACATAGATCTGAATGATTTTTCTAGTCCTAGATTTTAGCCTAGCTATTTAAATCATCATTTTCTCTACTTAGTGTTGCGTATTCGCTCTCATCCAAAACAGCCAAATGAAATAATCAGTTTAGTCATTAAATTTAGTAATTAGGGAAGCGGCTAGAGCGGTGTTAGGATCAAGAAGGGATATTCTGGTGGACACAAATGGGACTGGTGGTAGAATGGGGAGGTCCAAGGAAAAGCGGAAGCCAAGAAAGCGGCGTATTTGAATGGAAAGCATAGATAAGGAGAAGAAGAGGACGAATAGGAAGTGGTAAAAGAAAGCAAAGAAAGAGGCGAAGATAGCAATTACGACGGCTAAAATTGCAGCATTTGGACTTCTGTATGAGGAGCTTAGGGGCAAAGGCGAGGACAAGAAACTGTTTAGGTTAGCAAAGATGAGGGAGAGGAAGACCTGTGACTTGGACCAAGTGAAGTGCATCAAAGACGAAGAAGGCAAAGTATCTGTGGAAGAGGCACATATTAGACGAAGATGACATGCATGCTTCCATAAACTATTGAACGAGGAGAGAGACAGGAACATTGTGCTTGGTGAGTCAGAGCACTCCGAGAATCGGCGAGATTTTGGACATTGTAGGCGTATTAAGATTTAGGAAATAGAGGGGACGATGCGTAAGATGAGCAGAGGTAGAGCAATTGGGTCAGACAAAATCCCTATAAAATTTTAGAGGAATGCGGCCGAGCAGGCTTGGAATGGCTTACCAAGTTATTTAATGTCATTTTCAGGACGAAGAAGATGCCCGAAGAATGGATACTAGAATAAGGGTGATATCTAAAATTGCAACAACTACAGGGGTATCAAGTTGTTGAGTAAGTATGAAAGTTTGGGAGAAGGTGGTGGAAGTGAGGATGACGAGAAGTGTGTCTATTTCCGAGAACCAGTTTGGATTCATGTTGGGGCGGTCGACTACGAAAATCATTCATCTTGCGAGGAGATTGGTGTAGCAGTATGGGGAGAGGAAAGATGACTTGTATATGGTATTCATTAACCTTGAAAAAAGCTTAGGATAAAGTCCAGAAAGAGGTTTTATGGAGATGTCTGGAGGTTAGCCGTGTGCCGGTAATGTATACTAGGATGATTAAGGACATGTATGAGGGTGCTAAGACCCAGTGAGGATTGTGAGAGGGGACTCGAAACACTTCCCAGTTATGATGGGGTTGTACCAAGGATCAGCTCTTAGCCCGTTTTTATTTGCCTTGGCGATAGATGTGTTGATACGACATATTCGAGGGGAGGTGCCATGGTGCATGTTATTCGCATATGACATAGTACTGATTGACGAGATGTGAGGTGGGGTTAACGCATGGTTGGAGCTTTGGAGATAGACCCTAGAGTCTAAAGGTTTCAAGTTAAGCAGGACCAAAACAGAATACTTGGAATCCAAGTTCAGTGATGGGACTTATGAAGCGGATGCGGACGTGAATCTTGATACACAAATCATCCCCAAGAGAGGTAGTTTCAAGTATCTTGGGTTTAATTCAAGGGGACGGGGAGATTGACGAGGATATGACACATCATACTGGAACGGGATGGATGAAATTGAGGCTCGCATCTAGTATTTTGTGCGATAAGAATGTGCCACCAAGACTTAAGGGCAAGTTCTACTAAGTGGCGGTTAGACCGATTATATTATATGGGGCTAAGAGTTGGTCAATCAAGAGCTCTCATGTCCAGAGGAAGAAAGTAGCAGAAACGAGGATGATGAAATGGATATGTGGGCATACCAGGAGATGAGAATAGAAATGAAGTTATTCGGGACAAGGTGGGAGTGGCCCCCCGTGGAGGACAAAATGCGAAAATCGAGGTTGTGATAGTTCGAGCACGTGAAAAGGAGAAGTATAGATGCCCCTGTTAGAAGTTGTGAGAGGCTGACCATGACAAGTCTGAGGAGAGGTAGAGGTAGGCCAAAGTAGTACTAGGAAGAGGTGATTAAGCAGGACATGGCGCTGCTTCACTTATCGAGTACATAATCCTTGATAGGAAGGTGTGGAAGTTGAGATTAGGGAAAAAAGTTGGTCGGTAGTCGAGAGTTTATCCTATCCTTACCAGTAGTATTAGTACTATTCTTGTATTATCATATTCTTAGATATCTATTACTATATGTTGTTTTGTTTGCTTCAGTTATCTTATCATTCTGTTGTTAATGTTTGTTGCTACTGCTTCCTATTTTTTCCTTTTCTTGAGCCGAGGGTCTATCGGAAACAGCCTCTCTACCTTCATCAGGTAGGAGTAGATCTACGTACACACTACCCTACCGAAATCCTACTTGTGGGATTACACTGGGTTTGTTGTTGTTGTTGTTGTTGTTGTTGCACTTCGGATTTCTGAACCAAAACCATTATGAGCATCATTAAATTCCTAGCGAACTACAAGAATCCCCCAGAAATGCTGATGATAGAGAATGTCAGATTGAAGTTTGAGTACTTTATCACCAGCTATCAAATTATAAATTTCAGCCAAGAAGTTCGTCGCCACATCCTTCAAAACTTCACATATTGAAGTGTTTTGTTTCATTGAAGTCCATGTTGCTGATATGTTCTTAAGCACAAAAACATCAGTGCTTATAATCTCTTCTTAATTCTGAAGTAAGAACTGCAAATTATTTATAACTTGAGTAAAAGAAATTATGTTCCAATACAGAGCGCAGGAACATCAGTCCCAAGCAGGTAGAAACTGCACACATTGAATAACCTGACCTTTCAACTGAGCTTGTTCCATTTCCATTTACTTGTAGTTAAGCTATTTTGAAAGTCGGTCATATGAGATGCTTAGTCTCATCATGCATTCACCCCCTAATATTCTTACACTGATTTGTTTGTTTAAACCTAATGATCAGATAACACCATTTTAGTTCAAAATAGGACAGTTTCACTCCCAAAAATGAAGAGCGGATATTTTATCACTTTAAATTTTCAAAGGAATCAATATTAAAAACACCCAGAAAAGGGAGAAAACATGTAAAATGAAACAGAAAATAAAGAGATAAACTTAATAAAAACCTGTAAATCGCTATCATATCAACTTCACCAGCCTCGGCTTGACTATCTGCCGCTGTTGGATTTATCTTGTCATCTATGAAACTATCATCATATGAACTGTAATCCTGCTTATCCTCCTCATCATCGGATACTGAAACTTCTGAAGACACCCTGTGTAAGAACCATTATTTTAGAAGCATATCAGGAGAAGTGCATGAGGCAGATGAAATTCATTATAAGTATAAAAATTGACTAGTAACCGATCTATGATGGTTATTTTGTTTTGGGCCATTAATTGCAGTAAGGATACTCTAAACATCAATGGGCTGCAGAACAAACTCAATGGGCATTGGACATGTCAATTGCGCCATTAATTATGCAATCTTTTTCATAATCTAAGATGTAACACTAGCCCTGTTGCATGTTCTGGTGCATCTTAGTCATGTAGAAAAGTTATGTTTTAACACTAATCTTTCTTTTCCTTTCTGTAAAGTAAAAGGGCATATTAGTATTTAGAAAACTTTCAGAGCACAAAACAAAATTGGGGAAAAGTATAGGAGATGAATATAGGAATGCGCAAACATAAATTTGGTGTAAGAAACTTTATCAAGACGCCCCGTTTCCACTCCCTATTCCCTAAAAAACAAGTTTGAAGCTCTACCCCTAATTCTATAATGCATGTGTCTAGGATGATAAAATAAAAACTAAATAAATCACAAAGGAAAAGGAAAGGTTTTCTGACAGGTTGCTATAATGAACGTGAAATAGAGGTCTCAGGCTGTCTGTTCATCAAAGACGATGATGGTGAAAACCTATCACCAATCATAAGTTATCTTCTGACGTTACCTCTGGAGCAACATCACATTTACTTCATCATACTGCAAGTTTCTGTCTGTCTTTTACAGCTTTAATATCTTACACCCTGAAAACCACGTTCTAAGGCTGTTCATATTTTAAGTCACCAAAATAATCCTTTTCCCATTTGTTTACAGCACTTGTGTGATAAGAATGTGCCGCGGAGACTTAAAGGTAAGTTCTATAAGGTTGTAGTTAGACCGACTATGTTATATGGAGCAGAGTGTTGGCCGGTCAAAAACTCTCATACCTAAAAGCTAAAAGTAGCTGAGATGAGGATGTTGAGGTGGATGTGTGGGCATACCCGGTTGGATAAGATTAGGAATGAAGTTATTCGGGAAAAGGTGGGAGTGGCCCTGGAGGATAAGATACGGGAGGCGAGGTTGAGATGGTTCGGGCATGCTAAGAGGAGAAATATATAAGCCCCAGTTAGAAGGTGCGAGCGGTTAGCCTCGGTGGGTAGTACGAGGGGTAGAGGTAGGCGTAAGAAGTCTTGGGGAGAGATTATTAGGCGGGACATGGCGCAGCTGGAGCTGACTGAGGACATGGCCCTAGACAAGAGGGTGTGGAGGTCAAAGATTAGGGTAGAAGGTTCGTAGGTAGTCGAGCGTTTCTCTTTGTCTTACTCAGTTCGCTAGCTTTTAGTGTTAGTATGATATTTTTTATTCATAGATGGCTATTACTACCTAGAGTTTGACTGCATTCTTGGATTCGATCTTGTCTCATCTTGTTGTTATTCCTAGTTGTTGCGATTACCTTTTCTTTTTCAGTCGTTCTCTAGCTGAGGGTCTATCGGAAACAATCTCTCTGCCCTTCTAGGGGTAGGGGTAAGGCTGCGTACCTCTTACCCTTCCCATACCCAACTCTTGGGATACTACTGGGTTTGCTGTTGTTGTTGTTGTTGTTTATTTGACTCGGTTTCTTGTGAATTTCATAACAAGGTCTCGGAGAGGATGTTGGCAATGCTAAAAAGTCTGGAGGTCTCTATTTCTCGGAGGATGGAAACAATTCAGTTAACAAAAATCTATTTGTTTGAACTCCATTTTTATTGAGAATAAGGTTATGCTTTGGCATTATAGACTTGGTCATCCTAGTTTTTATTATTTGAAGCTTTTGTTTCAGTGTGAATTTCGTAAAATGGCAAAACATCGACGCTCTATTTTTCCCTCTCATAAATATCATGCCTCAAAACCATTTAATCTTATCCATAATGATGTTTGAGACCATCTAGGGTTTTGACAAATAATGGAAAACGATGGTTTGTGAGTTTTATTGATGATCACACTAAGCTAAGCTGGGTTTATCATTTAAAAGAAAAAATAGAGGTAAAAAATGTATTCGAGATTTTTTATGCTATGATTGAAACATAATTTCAAGAGAAAATCCATATTTTTAGGAGTGATAATAGCAGGGAGTTTTTAATGAGCAATTAGGAACTTTTTTTGTTAAATAAAGGAATAATTCATCAAAGTTCATGCCCTGATACGCCCCAAAAAAATGTGGTTGTCGAGAGAAAGAATAAACACTTATTGGAAGTATAAACACTTATTGGAAGTAACTAGAGCCCTATTGTTTACTACTAGAGTTCCACAATATTTATGGGAAGAAGCTCTTTTGACAACCACCTATTTGATAAATAGGATGCCATCTAAAGCTCTTAGTTTTAGAACTCCCTTTAGCCTATTCAAAGATAAATTTACTACATCTAGGCTAACTACTGATTTGCCATTAAAGTGTTTGGCTGTAGTGCTTTCGTTCACAACCATGATCATAATAAGAGCAAACTAGAACCTCGTTCAAGAAAATGTGTTTTTATAGGCTATGCTCCAAATCAAAAAGGGTATAAGTGTTATGATACGAATACAACGAAGATTGTGGTTACTATGGATGTTACTTTTTTTTTGAATCCCAACCTTTTCTTGGCACTCATCTTCGGGGAGAGAAGTTTGTAGAAGAATATTTGTTTTGCAATAATGAAGGAATGAGTCAAAATAAAAAAGAACTGGGTTACCTGATAAACATGGTATTGGCGGTGAAGCAGAGTACAAACCTATGGCTCATGGAATCTGTGAGATGATTTGGCTTAAGAAAATAATGGAGGAACTTAGAAGATTGTGACAATAAAGCTGCCATAAACATTTCCCACAATCCATTCAACATGATAAAACAAAACATATTGAGGTGGATAGGCATTTCATCAAGGAGAAACTCGAAGAAGGAAGCCTATGCTTCCCATTTGTGCCAACTGATCAACAGACATCAGATATTTTTACTAAGGGGTTGTTTAAACCAAGATTTGAAAGTCTTGTAAGAAAGTTAGGCATGTCAGATATCTACATGTCAGCTTGAGGGGGAGTGTTGATTTGTAATATCTGATTATGGTTATATATGATCAAATCAAATCAGATATGTCGATTTGTATTATCTGATTATTGATCATATAAGATCAAGATAAGCTAAGTTAGGAAAGTTTCAGATTTTTAGGGATTAGATTAGATTAGAAATACCCCTTTGTCTGGAATCAGAAGATTATTTCCTTTTTTATTGATTTGTTTTCTCCTAAAAATGTGTACTCTTTGAAAGAATAAAACATACTATCCCGATACCAAAACTAACAAATGCTATTACGTATTTGAGGGCCATATTGCCCGTAATAGTATTCTAGCAAGTCAGAAGAATGGAAGATAAGTACTTGTTGACACTATATGTATCCCATTAACCCATAATTTATGCAGTCTTGTTGACACAAGGCATGATAGCCATAGCCCATAAACCATGCACTGAGTGCAGGTGCAGAATCTAGATGATACCACAGGAAATTGCTAACCATACTTTCCTTAGTACTTGGATAGTAGCTATTCAACAGTAGGTACCATTCTTGAGGATAGAAGAATATCTCAGTTTCATCCTAAACAATATCTCCTGCACAGGTTAAGAATTTCATGCAATTTTTCAGGGGGAGTAATATACTTCTCAATATCCTTATGTGCTACTTATCTTAAGATCTGTTGTTAGAAACTTACTTTTTCCCTATGATATTTGAGGAACTTCTACATCTCCCTCTTCCAGAGTGAACAACAGTCAGATAGGGAAAAAGACAAAACTGGGAAAAGTATTATGAGACTGAGGGAGGAATAAGACATAAAAGAAAGGAATGCCCTGTAGAGACACAATAAACAAAGAAGAGGAGCAAAGAGCTCAAGATTTCAATTGAGACATCAGTTTTTCACACCCCCAAGACTCAAAAAGAACGAAACAGCTAAGTACCCCGTTCTTATGAAGAGTGAATACGAAAGAATAAGAACAAATTCAATTAAGTTCCATTGCTCCTTGGTGAAATCAAATGAAGACAATACAACTTATAGTACCAGATTATACCATGGTCGAGTACTACCACCAGCAAGGCCAGCATATTGACTATGCAATCCATCTATGTGTTTATTTCATGAAGTGAGCTAACTAGCACCAATTAATAGGAGCATGAGATTTCCAGTTCTCTAAGAATGAACTTACTCAGCTTCCTCTTCAATGAAGTCTGTCACAATGTTTGGCTGCCGTTTCTCACCTGATGGCAATAGCAGATACATCAATATCCTTTTTTTTTTATCAACATAAACATACTTCCCAAATGACATAGAATACAAAATCCTTTAAAAGGTTGTAGGAAAATGAATAGCTAATTGAAACCCACTAGCATTGAAATCCAGGAATGATTAGCAGCAAGCATGCTTTTTTTTTTTGCTAGAAAAGTAAAACATCCAAGTTACCTATAGCTCTTCCGTGCTTGAAACCAGTATGACTGTCAGTGCCACAAGGAGCTGTTCGTTTTCGGGAAGTACCAGTTTTTTGCTTGTCTGGAGGTTTTCTTCTAGGAAGATCACCGTGTTTGCGCAATCTTCTAAACTTCGGTTTTTGTCCAACACTCTCTGATTTGTCTGTAGAGCCAAGTTGCCAGTCTTTGCTACAGCTTTTGCTTGATAAGTTTGCCATAGGAGTTTGATTATCTTCAGCAATTAGACAAGTGTACTTGCAACTTCTCGGTTCATTACTCTGAATGTTTTGTATAGGAGTTGACATTGCATTATCTTTTCCAAAGGTGCTAATGCCACCTGCAGTCTTTTCATTCTGTTCTGACGATTCTTTTGGTGTTGAAACAAGGTCTTTAACCATGAACTGTGCACCTTTATCCTTTAATACCCCTGCAAAAGAAAAGATAAAACTTTTATAGTAACAAAAAGATACTGTAAAAAAAATATAAGCGCGTAGTTCTATAAAAGACTTTGTGTAAGGAAAAGAAAGAGACCATCAGTTATAGGAGATTCAGTTATAGGAGATTCCGGGACAAACTCGATATCACTAAAGTTGGTTAGACGTGGACTAAGCTCCATATCTCCAAACTCTTTGTCTGGCTCATCATCTACTATTGACGTCCCACAAATTTGAACTTCCAGACTCTCACTGATGCTCTTACCTTCTGGTTTTACCTTGTGATCTGGACTTTGAAAATTCTTCTCGCAGAGATCAAATATCTTCTGTTGCTGTGCATTAGACACACAGATTCTTGATGCTTCCAAATTAATTTTTTCTGCACTTGTCTGAGTAGCAGAAAAGTCTTTTACTCCATCAGTCTTTTCCTCCAGCTCATTCGCTGAAACCTTACCATGAAGGGAATCTTTTTTTCGCAGGTTGAACTTTTCAAATAATCTGGTGTTTGTAAACTTAGAAACCAAAGTTTCTTTTAAAAAAAGTTGGGCAACAGATGAGACTATAACCCTCCCCTGATCATCAACACTTACAAACTCCGAGCCAAATAGGAAGGCATGTGCATGAGAGCTTTCCCCTTGAAATATGTCCAGTAAAAGCGTCTTTTTACTATTTGGACTTTGCAGGGGTACAGACTCCTTCTGTTGTTCTGTTTTACAGTAATCTTCAGCAGAACAGCCTGTATGAATCTGAATAATATTAGCTATGAAAACAACATATATCTTTTTTTTGAGAATGGTAACACTAAAGTACAACATACATCTGAATTCTTTTTCTGGACTATTCTTGTTTCTCTTCTATTTTCTTTTGTTTGATGTAGAAAACATCAGAAAATAAACAATGCTCTTAAATTATAAGAAGCAGGATCGAGGAAAAATTAGCATAGTTTTTCAGTGTTATTTGGCCTTCTCGCCTCTAATTCACCCAGCAAAGAGAAACATGAGCTTGTTCATGAAAACATACCAATGGTAGCTTCAGCTGTTTGGATAACGCCTTAACATATTACAGACATGGATTATGCATGGACAATGAAGAACAGCCAGCTAGTTAATAGCAATATTTCATGTGTTAAAGATCATTATAGCACCAGAACCAGATTCTAAATAATCGAGGAACAAAAGAAGAGCTAGAATTTTTTTTTTTTTGGTTACATTGTAGGGGGAAAAAATAGGGAGGGATTACAAGGTGGGAAATCGAACTCTCACCAATAAGGTGAAAGTTCAGGTAGCCAACCAACTAAGCTACTAAGATTCCCCGAGCTAGTCTATGAGAGGATTGAAGATATCCTTTTTTATAAGTAGGTTGAAGAGGACACTTTTATTTATAAGTGGATTGAAGAGGATAATCACAACCACCTTTGCAAAAGAAACAGATACGCAAACAGACTTAAAATGCTTTTGGAAGTTAATGTTAATTCGTAGATAAAACGCAAACAATAGGTTGAATAACTTCAATGTTTCGTACACTGAAATTAACCCCAGGTTTAAATGGAATATGTAAAATTGTGATCGAACAGATAGTGCAGACTGGACCACAATTCTTCTCCATACTGGCACCATAATTCAGAATAATTTTTTTTTTTTT